TCCCAGGGGAACTACTTCGAGGGTGACGGATGAATTTAATACCTGAGATAAGTGTACGGGTTTTTATACGCGCAGTCTGGAAACCTTCCGATCGCACCTCGTAGGTTAATTTCTATATTTCGGGTTTAATTTTATATTCTCTGAATAAAAAATACACGAATGACTATTTTTTTAAAGTATCTGAGTGGGAGTGACTGAGAAAAACGTATGCCTGTAGGTCATTTTTTAATTCTGTTCCTTTGAAAGTCAGCACAGCAGTCGAAAGCCCTGGCGTGCATTACCTAGAGCGAAAGGGTCACAGCGTCTTCAATAGGTCACTTGAACTGTACTGATTATCGGCTAAGTTAAACAGCGTCCTGGAAACAAACACGAATATCCCGCAGACAGCAGCGTCGACCGCGTATCCATGACAACGTAATGTTACTTCCATTAACTTATTTATAATACGGCTTCAACGCACATGACAAGGAACTGAGTGGGCTTTGTGTTCGTCGACTGTTTCTAGTTGTCATGGCAGCGAAAATCGAAGCAGTGGCGCATTAATATCAAAGAAAATAGCTCCCTATTGTCGTATGTCAGGAGTCCCCGTGGTCTCGGATTGGGACGGATTTTGCCGAGTCCGAGAGAGAATCTTAAATCAGGCCACATCGTTAAGTCGTCCGACTATGGAGACCAATTCTGTGACTTAAGAGACAATCTGGGTATTTAAAGATTAATGTCAACGATCGGTTTCGAACCGTGAACCCTTTAAACTTCATGTTACCTCCTGAAGAAGGAAGGAGAACCGACTATTTAATGACTCTGACAGTGGACAATGTTCAATATTTTAAGTTACTATCCACCCCATCTGCGTAAATATATACTAAGGAAAACCACGGATATTCTCAGTTACTATAGGTAGTTACGTGATCCATATTTTAAAACGTGACCTTCATAAATTAGAAGGGGTGGGTGGAAAGAATGCTAAAAACTCGGAAGCTACTTTCGGTCAATATCACGTGGAATTAGAAATTTAAAAGAAATTAGTAGCCTCGATATAAAACTCTGAATCAACTGCTGTTACCGGACAGATATTTTAAATTATTTAAAATGTGAGTTAAGCCATCAAAATACGACGGTTCTACCGTCATATGTCTCTTGCAAGTCATTTTAAGTGTACGACCAGTGGCGGCTCGTGAGTCTGAGCGTTGGTTGTGCTACGCAAAGGGGAATATTCAGAATAGTTTTTCAACACATAACAATATAAATATATTAAAAGTAAATTTACATCAGGAGAAAACCTATACCAGGTGTGATCGGAAGGTTTCCAGACTGCGCGTATAAAAACCCGTACACTTATCTCAGGTATTAAATTCATCCATCACCCTCGAAGTAGTTCCCCTGGGAGTGAACACAACGATCCCAGCGCCGCTGCCAAGCCCATGTTGAAAATTCAGGTAAAGGGAAGGAGATTTGAGACGATAGAAGAGATTGAGGCAGAATCGCAGATGGTGCTTGACAGGCTGACAAAGAAAGATTTCCAGGGATGCTTCCAGGCTTGGCAGCGGCGCTGGGATCGTTGTGTTCACTCCCAGGGGAACTACTTCGAGGGTGATGGATGAATTTAATACCTGAGATAAGTGTACGGGTTTTTATACGCGCAGTCTGGAAACCTTTCGATCGCACCTCGTAAGATTAGCGTCAAATAAGATTGTAATCGCACATCAAACAGTCTTTGATTTGCTTAATTGATTTGTGTATAATTTATCCCTAATACTTTATTATTTTTATATGATTATTAATATTGATTTATCATAAGTTCAGACTCATATTTAAATTTCCGTATCCAGCATTTTAAAACCTTGCATACCGTTTAGTGTATTGAAATATAAAGTATCTAACAAACATAACTGTTTACGCTTTGAAGGACACTAATGTCAAACGCGTTTCGACCTCAAGAGGTCATCTTTAGTGGTAAAAAACATGTTAAATCATATATATTTTTAATATATATTTTATATATATTTTTATATATTTTTTATATATTATACAATATTATATAAATCAAAAAGATGATGGTATTTAACAGGGCATGAAAGGTGTGTACTTTACAGAACCATAATTATGTAACACCTAATTGGACGTTGATTTTACAGGAGTTTGGGTATTAATACGGGCACTTAGCTGATTGCCATGGTTCGTCTACGGTGTGTAAACAGTTCTGTTTGTATAAATACTTTATACGTATCGAACAGCCGAGCATGTACTTGGGAGGTTTCGGAGCACATGTTAAAGAACGGAGAACACTTCTGCTCCTGAGAGTTAAGTGCAGAACGTGGACAGATAACAGAATTAAGGATTTACCTTTTCTCTGATCCAGCATCTGATTACTCTCTTTAACAAATGGTGTTTATTACTTAAAAGCTTTTACGATTTAAGAAGGTAGCGTGGGGACCACGTGTTGAAGGTTCAGATCTTCGTGGGAAAGGATTGTTCCTTGTACCGAACCCCGGACCCTGAGCCAATATAAATTAATCTTACATCTTTCTTGTTTGGAGTCTGTGACTTTTTAATCCAATCAGGAATGAGTTTTGGTTTCATCCCGTGTGGAGGTGACTTCGACACTCAATTCTTCTTTTGGGCTTGAAAGGGGTCACCGCTCAATTTTGGGAAACACCAATCACAACTTCAGGCATGAACATTCGAAAATTGCGAGCTGACTTTGTGTGATGCTACAGACCCCTGAGACATTCCTTTCAGCCCTAAATATTCAACAACAGCATCTTTATTGACTACATTACAAGATGACGATAGTGAACTGGAAATGATGAAGGTACTATTCATGCATTTCCGTGGAGAGACTGAGGAAAATCAGATAGTCGTTCTCTGGGTCGAGATTTAAACCGGGGACCTCCTGAACACGAATCGGGTGAGTTATAACAACCACTCGACCACAAGGTTCTGTCTGTACATGGTTAAGATAACAAATGAATAATCAGAGCATCTGTACGGAAGAATCCGCCTCGGTAACCTACTCACTGATGGGAGGATACTATTAAAATGAATCTCATAAGAAAGAGGACTGGACTGGACTCAAAACGTGAGCTTTTGTGAACACGGTAATGAAGTTTCTGGTTCCTTAATTTTCGTACATTATAACTGGCCGAATTTCATCATAAATCTGGCTCGTAATAATTCAGTTCATTTCATTTCATTTGAGTGTTTGCCAACAGCGAGAAGCCAATTACGGGCAAACACAGAAATAATACACTTAACCCTTTGAAGCCGAAGATCGTCTGAATATTATTTATGAATCCAGTCCGTACCGCGAAGAAAACACTACACCTCACCATTACGAAAATCAGCTGGTTAACCATTTGAAGCCGAAGCTCGTCTTCATAATATTTACGAATCCAGACCGTACCGCGAAGAAAACACTTCACTTAACCATTAGAAGTCGAATCAGGCGGTACCACATAAGATTTAACAAAAGAACATCCCGGTCAAAGCCTTAATTAAGATTGCAGCAATCAATCTAGACCCTTTCCTGTACAGAGAAAGTGTCATCAAGGGAGACACTGAAGTCCATTTGTCAGTTCATCGCCATCACTGTTAATAAAAGTTATACTTCCTTAGGATTCATTGTAACATCATTATCCTTTCGGGGTTCTTAATTAACATCGTATCTTACCTCCGATAATCGTGTTACAACACTCGCCGGGCACAGATTTAGTCACACAAATAATAAATTAATAAATAAACACAAATTACGAAGTACGTAAGTATGAATACAGGGAAGGCTAAAGTTAATCGACGTTTCAGATGTGACTGCCACCTCCCTGATGATGGACGCTGCAAGCACCTATGAAACGTCGGTTTTCTTACATCAGACTACACAGCGCAACAACCCAGCAGACAGAAATCTTCATACTCTGATGACGGAGGCAGTATGACCTCTGAAACGTTGGTTAACATCGACCAGACTGCACAGCGCAACAACCCAGCAGACAGAAATCTTCATACTCTGATGACGGAGGCAGTATGACCTCTGAAACGTTGGTTAACATCGACCAGACTGCACAGCGCAACAACCCAGCAGACAGAAATCTTCATACTCTGATGACGGAGGCAGTATGACCTCTGAAACGTTGGTTAACATCGACCAGACTGCACAGCGCAACAACCCAGCAGACAGAAATCTTCATACTCTGATGACGGAGGCAGTATGACCTCTGAAACGTTGGTTAACATCGACCAGACTGCACAGCGCAACAACCCAGCAGACAGAAATCTTCATACTCTGATGACGGAGGCAGTATGACCTCTGAAACGTTGGTTAACATCGACCAGACTGCACAGCGCAACAACCCAGCAGACAGAAATCTTCATACTCTGATGACGGAGGCAGTATGACCTCTGAAACGTTGGTTAACATCGACCAGACTGCACAGCGCAACAACCCAGCAGACAGAAATCTTCATACTCTGATGACGGAGGCAGTATGACCTCTGAAACGTTGGTTAACATCGACCAGACTGCACAGCGCAACAACCCAGCAGACAGAAATCTTCATACTCTGATGACGGAGGCAGTATGACCTCTGAAACGTTGGTTAACATCGACCAGACTGCACAGCGCAACAACCCAGCAGACAGAAATCTTCATACTCTGATGATGGAGGCAGTATGACCTCCGAAACGTTGGTAAACATCGACCAGACTACACAGCACAACAACCCAGAAGACAGAAATCTTCATACTCGCCGCTGTGAAAACCTCAAATCTTATATGGTTTAACAAGTTTCGCGCGATTGTTTGGTACTTGTTAGTGGTAAAATAATTTAATATTCTATCTGTAGCGATAAATATCACTCACCTATCGCAGCCTTCTTTTTTGGGTCAAAGAATAATCGCTTCACACGTTCAATTGGCACTTGCCACTGGCTAATATCAGTGGCAGCTGCTTGTGCGCAAATGCCTGAACAGCAAACTCTCGCCCTTCAAGTAGCTTTTGTTAGGTTAGGTCGGTCGCCTTCAACAATTAGCAGCAAAGAAACAAACACGAAACGCACAAAACAAGGCCGATGGAATGACGAACCTGATTTCACCATTAACTTCCTTCTACCTTTTGAGTCAGTGTGTCATTGTAGTTTGCCTTTCCTGTTACAGTCATTTGCAACTGTCTTTGAGTTAGATGCGTAACACGTTTCCCTCCGCTCAACGCCGCCACCCCCTTCCCCTCCCCTAGAATCAGCAACTTACGTAGAGAAAGTACATTTCTAAGCCTCCTCGATTGACAGAAGCTACGTAAGACACGAGCAGTGTTCATGCTGTACTTCTAAAGCCAAATGCAGAGAAGGCGGTGGGGGAAGAGTAGGTGAGTAGGAGAATAGTTACTGCGGGATGCAAGCCTCTGCTTTAATATACGACATTCCAAATACTGAGACCCATCCGTAAAATGTTGTACCGGATTTTATTTTTTACTGTGTCATTTGACTGTTTTATTTTAAACTTGTGAAGATGTACTTGTTGAAAAATATGACGCGATCATTAATGGCGAGTGTGTGTGAGAATTTGAAAGGACCTGACCGTGACCTGGTTTAAGATTCTGTCGTCGGGATGCACTTGGAATAAAAATAATGTGTCACAACGGCCAGCAAATCCAAGATTCGTTCTTATTTAATAACATTTCATCAACGGAATACATCGGAAAGGCTAAATGGAATTCGAACCGGGCAACAGTGCCAACGATGAAGAAAAGTGTGGGTTTAACTGAAGGTTAAACACGTTAGTTACACGGAATCACAGGCAGACATATACGTCCTGCAAGGGCAGCTGTACTTACGCGTTCCAGCAACTTCCAATTACACCACGGCCTCTTCTGATAAATTTCACGTCGCAGTAATAATAACGAAACAAAAAAACAATGCACATCTAAATCTGCCGAGATCTGACACACGTTTATAAACTCCGTTTTACAAAATTTCTTCTTTAATAGCTAACAGATACTAATGCACATCACATGGAACCTGTCCCATCAGATGAGCACCTTCAAATGATGCCCAGCGCAGTACGTGGCTGTATTCGCAACTTAAGACCTCTGCTTGTAATCATGTATAAACCATGTAACGAGATCAACAAACATTCGTCACTGTACGAGTCTTTTACAATCGGCGCTAGTGTCGCCTATTCTGTTACAGGAAACTGAAAAATAAGATTTTACTGGTGGTCCCCAATGGCTCAACATTCATACCACATTTCATCAAAATCCGCCCAGTAGTTCTCGTATTGAGACATATTGACAGACAGACGGACGAATGGATGGGCAGGCAGACATTACCAGACCCAAATATGTTCACTTCATGCACTCGGGAAATTGTGCATAGCAGAACAAATCTGACTCACTGAGGAGAATTTCATCTTTGATATTTAACCTATGGTAAACGTCATGTGAAAAGTTCCCTCTAGATTTCTCCCTCCTCCACCAACCAGAGACATTTGCATGCAAAATAATAAAGAATTCACGTAAAATGCCCGTTATTAGTGTCTGAAAATAAAGTTGGAATTTCTTGACAAATTGTAGTAAAGCTGCAGAACTTCAGAAAAAAAAATTTTGTTAACCTAACCTAACTTAATAAGAGCGACGCGAATGCACTTGAAAATAGTAATAGCGTAATAATAATCCTGTTGCAGTGATATCTTGTTGAGGGAACACTCAAAGAAATGCAGCCTCATGCTTGCGCTACATACCTGTGTGGGTAGAGCCCTTGGTACAAACAGCGGAAGAGGCTGATGAGCCCTGAGCATCTGATGAGAAAAATTCCTTCCCTTACCTGGAATTGAGCTCTGACAGACGACACACTGGATACTGGATCTTTTTTGTCAACTTTTTTTTAGGTTATGGGCCAAGGAATGTGTAAGAGTATTGCCAACACAAAGCACATTGTTACAAGAAATTATTTCTATGATACATGTGAATGTTGCCTTTGGGTTTATTCTTGAAATAACAATAATTAAACTGTTCTCTGACTTTTTCATTCGAAGGAGTTTATAACTTCCCCATTTAACGTCAACGACGAGTTGCGCAGCTGACAAACCATTGCAGATCGGACTCACGTTTATTTATTTAAACTTTTCAACTCAAAATGATCCCAAGAGCACGTAGTTAATCTACGGACATCCTGTTGCGGGACACCTGTATAATAAACATGAAATCATTTAAAATCTAGTAATAATAAGGATCAATATCATTTTATTTGCCTGACTGAACACTGTATGAAAATACCAGAATAATTACAACTTTGTATTGATAACTGTAGTCTAGGACCCAGTTACTGCATACAGAACCAAGAGTAAGAATGTATGTGCACTTTTATTACAAATTACTTGATTTGCAAAAGTACTGACATTAACTTACACTTCTCTTTTTCACATAATTAACATAACTTTCAAGAATGCCCAATATCATACGTAACACTTCCTAGAACAATTTTCATCTAGGTATAACACAAGTAACTAATGTTTTCAAATATACATTCCACGATAAAAAGATGAGAATTCATTTTTATTAACCGTGCAGCCCACAGTATTTTAATATAAACTTCACGTTAAAATAAATATGATCCGAAACAGGCATCTTGAGCTATTTAAATACAACGCGATCGTACGAGGAATTTATTTTGTTGTAGGGTACGGCTTTTATTCAATTACTACTTGTATGACTTCTTGGCTCTCCAGTCTAGATACTCGTCAAATTCAGCTTCATCTGCGCTAGATGTTTCGCCATCATCTTCGGCAGCAGAAGCACTGTTCCTACTACACACACCTTTTACTACTGCTTCTTTCTTAAGTTCCAGGTCCAACACTCTGAAACGAAAAGAACACACATAATCGCACAAGTAAAATATACATCGATAAAATGTGCTTTATTCGTGCCGATGTTCTCCTTAAATTCCCACATATGTCAACAACATAAAGATTTCACACTGTTCTAAATGTTCAGAGTATAATATAAAGAACTGATTTATGATCAGCTTAGCCTGAAAACAAACAGCAAAACAGCAAGACAGAACAAACTTCCGCAGTAGACCTACATTTTATTATTTATTTAGTGTTCTGTCTGACCACAGGTCCATATGAACAGGATCCTTCCATCCTTTTCTCGGACTGGGACCTGTTCATATACGTTCTTGGCAGATGATCCAGAAGCGGTTTGCCATTGCCTTCTTCTGTGTGTGAATGGAGTAATTGTTGGGATGCCACGGAGGAAAACTCCGTGTTGCCTAGACCACGGCCTTGCCCAACACAAGTTATAAATTCGGGCACCGCTGGGAATCGAACCCGAGATCCCCTACATATAAAAACACAAGCCATGTGGGAAAATCCAGACATATGAAGAAGAATTATGTAGCCCGGTTCTTGTCTCACAAGGAGGAGATAAACATGGAAACATTACATTCACCATCATAGAAAGGAAAAAAAATAATAAAGTACAGCTGTCCCACTACACGCCGTGTAGGCACTTGGGGAGAGGAGGTATAGCTCCTACTCATTCTCGACCTCGGCACTAGACGAGGGTTAGTGGTCAGCACCCACACCGCAGTCATGTTTCACCCCCAGGAAAGTACCCTGGTAGCCATTGGATACGAGGATGGGTGGGCCCCAGAGCCGGTGTGGGCGCAGAGGCTAGAAGAAAATCCTCTGCCCCCATCGGGGATCAAACCCTGGTCGTCCAGTCTGCAGTCACTATATTGAGCTACCCTGGCAAAAACCATTACAGAAATAAACCATCACAAAATATAATAATGGGTTACCTGGACCAATTCCGCATCTGTTCGTCAATCTCGTCAATTTGTCTCTCTGCTGTTGCTTCTTCCTGATCCTCAGCAATGATTTGTGCAGAAACTGTGTTCTCCTCCTTCATCTCTTTCTGAAATTTCTCCCATTCTTCTTCAATCGGATCTTTGTATTCCACATTGCGTGCCTGTCATAACACAGTAATGCAATAAAAAAACAGTAAAACAATAAAAAGTACAGTTATGCAATAAAAAATTCAAACATGCAATAAAAATACAACTTTAATACAAATTTCCACCATGGCTATCATTTCAGTAAGAATTACAAAGTAAAAGTATTTCAGATTTAAACAAATCTTTTCTTCTTTTATAAGAAAGAAGATACTAGATTAAATTCACACGTTAAACATAAAATATTTTATAAAGTGAAGCTTTCACGGCGACTGATGTTTATGAAAGACTCCTGGGTTACAAGCCGCATCAGGTGGCTAAACGGTGAACAAACCATATCTTCTGCCAACGTTTCGAGAACAGTCTCTGCTCTCATCCTCAGGGCTACTTGTAACCCGGGAGTCCTTCATAAAAGACTTTGTTCCTTACTTTCATAGAATAACAGTTTCTTATTACAACTTTTTTCTAAACAACAAGCATCAACATGTTTCTCCATTGTGAGACACAGATTAACGGACCCTAACTGTAATGAGGATATCAGTATGAAATTATCAAAGGACATGGCTAGAACATTTTAAAAGACTGCCTGAAACCTAACTCCCAAAGCAGCTGTATGAATATAACCTTAATAAATTGTACAAATTGTCAGTAACGTCTGACAAAAACATGGGACAGTTTTAACCCTCGTAAACAGAATAGGACAAGAGGTTAGCGTGTGATGAAAAGTATAAGTGAGTCTGGAACTGTTGACTCATTTTGCAAAAGACAACTGTCCTCGGTCAAAAATCTGTCAGTCAACTGTACGTTGACCAATATTCACCCAATTATGAGAATTTACACATCATTGCTTCTTTACACATGAATATGTACATGTGCGTGCGCACACACACACACTATCTTTAACATAAAATTTCTATCTAAGACATAAATTTCTTAATCCTCTGCTTATGCCTCCCTTCCCACACCTCTTTCATCCTCTCTCTCTCGCTCTTGAAAAAATGTTACAGAATTTTGCATATTTGGCAGAACACTGATCATGCAAAATTATTGTTCCACATACGAGTCAAATGAAGGCCAGGTTGAAGGAAAGCGAGGACTGGGAAGAAGACTGATACAGCTAACCGACGATCTTAAACAAGGAAAGAAGATGACGTTCCAGGAATTAAAGCGAGAAGCCGAGAATAGGGACAACTGGAGAGCTCTTTTTGGGCAGAGCAATGGACCTGTCGTAAGACAGAACACTTAATAATAATAATAATAATTTCACATTTGTAAATTATTAAAACCCTTAACGTGAAAATAATTCAGTGTTGCTCCAGATATTTAGAAAATGTAGCTCAAGAGTTAAACTGTATTTCTCACCTTGGCATCCAGTAGGGGGTCATCAAAGAAACCCTCCGGAAGAGCCTCCTCTTGATTAGACACGACTGTTTTGGTCGGCTGAGGTAATGGTTCAGAATCATCACTGTCTGTATCCTTTCCGTCTTCCATCACGACATCCTCTGTATCATTTCTTTCTTCTACAGCTACACGACTTCTCAAATCAAAATCGTCTTTTGGCACTTCAGGTTCTGGTGCATTCTTCAGAATTCCTACCATTAAAGACACAATATTTTAAAATCACATCAGCTGTCTTTATGTTGAAGCATCAAGCCATGAAAACCTATGGCAAAACACATCCAGATATTCTTAACCATGAAAGACATCTTCATCCACTGATCACTTTCATACCTGTACCCAATGAGCATACCTGTTGAAATTTCAATGGATTTCAGCATAAAATCAACACTGTGACCTCTGGCACACATACATTCTTGCATTAAACTCTGCCAGGTTGGACACACTGATCACGTGAAACACATAATCATGGATAAAAAGCAATATAGACTTTCCACAGCACAAGAAACATAAATCAGTCTTTTCTTTCTAGGGGTAAAATGGTGGCTGTACTTTGAGGTTATGTCCACAAATTTTAATTTTTTCACTTATACTGACTGCATGTCATGCCTTAAGTGTAGTGAAGCTAACTGTGTGTCACACTAGCAAACTGCCAGCTCTGGAGTTAAAGTTAAGCCAGTATGGGAGTTTATAACCCTACTTTTGTATGATAAAGGTTAATGGATTTTATTTTAAAAAGTGCTGGTACCACCAGTTACACCTATGATGGTATGAAGGAAAAGTGGGAATATTTCCGCTAAAAGTATGTAAAATTTGTATCAATCTGGTACTGTATGACAATGATAGTATCCATAATAAATTACATGATACATTTACTGAAATTCTAGAAATCTTTACAACCATACTCTCAAACATCTGGCAGATACAAAAATTAAAGGAGGAATTTCTTCAATAATAAAATTAAACAAGTGTCTTCATACATGTCTACCCTATTCATACAGAGTAATTTTATATCAGACATACATTTTTGCGGTTTTACATCCAATAACAACAAAATTCATACATACATCTGCAAATCCTTAGTGCTTCAGCTATGGCCAGAAGGTTTGAATAAAGTAACTGCAGACATGCAATGTGTTCACGTTCTGTATGAAAGGTGACAGAAATCATGATGATGAAACAAATTCTCAAAATGTGATTGTTCACTTCCACACAACACTTAGCACACTGCAGTAAGAAACGAAGTACAAGTTCATGTCTCATCACCATATTACATGACAAAATCATTACATAAAACATTTTATAATGCGCCAAGGTTCATGTACTTTGTAACAAATATTGCACTAACAAAGAAACTAAGATCAGATTAACTCTGGGTAATGCTTACTATCATCACCCTCAGTGGACCAGTCATTAATATGCTCGCCACTGGACCCCGCGTTTGTGGGTTAAAACCCTGCTGAGGTCGATGGACTTTTAAGGGTGATAAAAATCCATAGTACAACTTCCTTCAGAGAGGAAGTAAAGCCGGTGGTCCCATTTTGTAGATTTACAGCATGTAAAAGAACCTTACAAGCATGAACGAGATGTTTTGTAAATAATGTGAACACTTTAGACTTACTAAGTACTGCGTTATTTGTCTCCGAGTATGTTAATAATGTATGTCCCAAGTAGTTACCTAAATAAAGTGTCTCATTGTTTGTGTTTCTGCGACTATTGTAGTTAAAATAGAAATATTTCGATAACCATTTAAGATAAGGCAATGCAACTGTAACCACTGTGAAGATCTACTGACAGTGACATTTAAACAAGTCCGCTGGTTTAGTTTATAATATTAGACATGACTTCCTGTCTTACGTCTACTTCTGCATACACTTACATTGATTTTAACATTATTTCATTCTACGTTTTACTTAAAAGTATACCACTATCTCTAATCTTTGCTATCTCCTAAATTATAAATTATTCTTCCTCATATGTTCTCACTGACCTTTCTATTTCTTTTTATATTTGCTTAAATATAACCCAATTTTCTGAAGTGTCATTATCTTTGTAACTATCCTTCTAATTCCAATCTCTGAATCCTTTGTCAGAAACTCCTTTTCAAATTTCTAGTTTCCTCACATCTCAATATAGACTCCAGACTTCTTCGTTATTGCACACAGGACATATCCCCTGATCAATATTTCCCCTAACACCCTAACTAACTAACTAGATGGCTTACGGAACCAGAAGGTTCATCACCAAATTAACCAAAGCCCTCCACCGGACCCTGTCCTGGGCCAACAAAATCCAGTCTCCTTCAACTCCTATCTCCCATACATCCCGCCTGAGATTATCCTCCCATCTACGTCTAGGTCTCCCCAGAGGTCTCTTCCCCTCAGGCTTCCCAAATAGTGGACCCAACCAACCAGATGGCTTATGAAACCCGAAGGTTCATCACCGAATTAACCAAAGCCCTCCACCGGACCCTGTCCTGGGCCAACAAAATCCAGTCTCCTTCAACTCCTATCTCCCATAGATCCCGCCTGACATTATCCTCCCATCTACGTCTAGGTCTC